TTCAATGCATCAAATCTATTCTTGAGATGATCTCTAAATTCAGGTGGGATACACTCAAGGTCATACTTTGACTCTCGTGGACTTGTTCTAATTTTCTTCTGCTTCAACTTAAACTTGCATATGAGCAACTGATGGTCTGTTCTGACTGATGATACTGAGCTTTTCCATCATCTCTTTCTACAGATGTAGTCAATTTGATTCCTGCATATTGCATCCAGTGAGGTCTAAGCGTATAGTTGCCATTTATGTTGTTGAAAGAAGGTATTTGCAATGAAGAAGTTGTCGGTATTGCAAAATTCTATCATGCAATCTCTGGCATCGTTTCTATCACCAAGGCCATATTTTCCAACTACCAATCCTTCTTCTTTGTTTCCAACTTTCGTGTTCCAATCACCAGTAATTATCAATACATCCTGATTGCATGTTCAATCAATTTCAGATTGCAGAAGTTGGTAAAAATCTTCAATTTCTTCATCTTTGGCCTCAGTGGCTGGTACGCAAATTGGAATAATAGTCATATTAACTGGTCTTCCTTGTAGGGACAGCGTTATACTTCAGGATAGATCTTGAAATGTTCTTGAAATGCAATGTCATTCCTCTTCAATTTGTTATTCCTGGCATAGTAGACCATATGGGGATTGGATAGCTTGCTAATAATGTAAATAAGGTACTTGGCAACTTTGTTGGGGGTAGGACCATGCAAGTAAGGTATAAGGAACCCTAATGAGGGGATTGGTCAGTTTTGTCATACCCCTAGGCTTAAAGGGAGATGTGGAGAGAGAGAGAGAGAGAGAGGGGCTGTAACACGGAAGACAGTGAGAGACAGCTGCACAAGACTGCAAGAATCAGGAGACCAGCAGGAGACAGGCAGAGGACGGGCTGAGGGGCCAAGAGCCAGAGAGACACGGCTGAAAAGAGGCTGTCCTGATCAAAGGACTGTATCCGAAGTCATTCCTGATCCTGAATTGTAACCTATTACTTCCCTAATAAACCCCATATCTGTGATTATGGTCTGTGAGTTCTCTGTGGCCACTGCAATGAATTACCGAACCCAGCAGAGAAACAGACAGTGCTTTGAGAGGGATGGTTGGTGTCAGAATTGGTAAAAAGGTTGGAGGGTAGAGGCATGTCTGACTTCTGCGTCACTGAAATCAGTCTTGGGCTGTTGGTGCTGATAATGATTCTCCTCCCCCCTTGTGAAATTAGACAAGGAGGTCAGATGTCTCTGCCACACCATTCTTACAGCTGGCATCAGAAGCAGAATTCATTGCAATGGCTATAGACTCATGGAAGCATGGGACTTTATAAGAGAAAGAAGGAAGGGATGTGGGGAGCACAACTTTTGATATTTGTTATGCTGCAGCTGAGGGGAGAAAAGCCACATCTGTAATGGCTTAAGGCAAAAGCCAGGCTGGATCAGCAAGATGATTGATAGGGGGCCAGGGTCTTTTGGTTCCACCCATCTAGATGCCCGAGGCCATATGCATATAAATAGGAAGACAGTCAAGGTGTGGAGAAGAGAAGATGAAACTGGAAAACTTTAAAAAGGGTTATGTGTTTATTTGAATGTACTATGGATATTGAATGTTTCTCCTACTTAGTGTTGTAAGACCTACACGTATGATGGAAATGAATATTGGGTATTATAGATTACAGAGAACATGTAACTCGGCCTTCAGCCAATACTTGATTGAATATGCTAAAACGGAAACTAGGATTGCCTGAAAGAAACATAGGCTGTCTGTTTGAATGCAGTAGCTCTGTGTATAGAGTATTGGGGTGAGGGTTTAGGTAAAAAACCTGAGCTCCACCTAGGAAATTTGCATTTGAAAAGACTTGCAGACCTCCCCAGAACCGCTGAGAGAACAGGAGATTTGTATTTGAAGGAAGGACGTGTAGAAAAAAAATGCCTGTTCTGCTTTTTGAATTTTGAACAAGTGGTTTGCCTTTGGGTTCATCAAGGCAGGAAAGTCAGTGTCCATCAGAACTCCCTTCTGGGAATGGAATTTAAAAGGGAGTTGGTGAGTAGACAGCCTAGTATGCTTGCTTGTGGTGACCACCTGGGTCCACTTGATGAGTAGAAGTGGAGGAGGTGCAGCAATGAAGAGACAGGCTGAGTTTGGACATGTTCCATTGGCACCCATTGACCTAGCCCACGAAAGCTAGGGATGTGAGAAAGAGAGAGAGAAGAAGGGGCTGGCTGGTCTGACGTTCAGGGAGTCGTGTGGACTCCCAAGCCTATGGCTGGTACCCACTGACCTAGACTAGATGGCTAGGGATGAGCTGACCAGAACCTGACCGAATGAAGAGAAAGATGTTTGACTCGGTGAGCTGGTGTAGGTTGTTGCAATTTGATGGCCAGCTCTGGACTGGACTTTGCTTATGGATGCAGATGTTCAAAGTTCCAACTGGAACAGAAGATTCTTCAAATCAAGTAACATGCTTATCTCCTCAGAGTACTCATTTGATAGGGATGGGCAATTTAAACATTGGCTATCTAAAATGGCGGGAGATAAATGCATGAAATGGCTGGCTTACCCACTTTTGTGGGTGTGCTTACACTCAAAATGAGGGGGACAAGGGAGGACCCCCACTGGGTAGATTCCTCTTTTCCTGATGGGTCTGGGGAAGAGAAAGTGGGGTAAGGTGCTGATAGGATTATACGATTCATCTGTGAGTATTGACTGTTAGCAGGGTTAATCGTGATTGTAAAAACTGTAACTGTAGAAACTGTGACTGTGAAAGAGTGGATTAAGGGGGAGGCACTGCTGGACTGGAGTACAGTGGCTGAACCTAAAGTACCTTAAAGGTTTTGCTATGCTGATACCTCGTGAGGCTCAGAGCAAAGGAATAATCTTTTCTCAGTTAAATTTTATCAGAAGCCAGAAAGGGTGAAGAAGAGACAAACTCTTGGAGAACCTGACCAGATCAGATATATACCTGCAGCAGATCTGAATGGTTGGTACCTGAGTAACCTCCCCTTAGGACTCTTTGTCCTACCAAAGTACTAATTATTTTTGTTGTTGTTGTTAGCAAAACATCTTTTTCTTTGATATTTCTTTTTTTTAATTGTACTTCAGGTGAAGGCTTACAGAACAAATAGTTTCTCATGAAACAATAGTACACATATTGTTTTATGACATTGGTTAACAACCCCACAACAT